TGTATACAAATGAACAGAGCCTGAAAAAACAGCGTGAGCGGCACTAGACTATCAAGCTCAGAAACGGGGCTCGGTCGGCTGGCGGGAGTGACCTCCGCCATTCCTGAAGGAGCCCGAGTGTGATGCCACGTGAAGCCTTTGTCCACGACGGTCGGGATGCGCGCGGCAAGCTTCCTTCCGTCGCTGTGTTTCTTTCCGTTGCTATGTCTGCAGTTGCAAGGGGCGTGGAGTCTTCCTCTCGAGCCGGTCGCCGGGGACTTAGTATCTGTAGCTGTAGCCGCGGGAGAGGCCGAAGGGGTAGAGGTCGAAGCTGCTGTAGGGGTACATGAAAGGGTGTCTGTAGTAGCTGTGGTAGGGCAGTCTTGTCTGAGGGTCGGTTGATCTCTTGCCCATATGGTGGAGGGGACTGAAGCGGTGGAAGGGGTAGCCCTGGTAGCCATAGTAGTGGTAGGGATGGTAGTAGCTGAAGGAGTAGTTAGGGGTGTCTTTGGGGTCGGCCGATCGCTTGCCCAGCCCATGGACCTGAGGGTGGATATAAGATGTGGCGCCTCCCGGGTGCAGCGCCACGCCGCTGCCGTCCTTGGGCTGGATGCGGTAGTTCGGGAGGTTGTGCAGGTTGAAAGGGTGGAGGCGGTAGGGGTTGTAGTAGTAGGGATAATCTCTAAGCAGGACTGGTCGGGTCTGATCCTTGAGCACGAAAGGCGAGGGAATGTCCCCCAGCTGCAGGCGACGCGGCTCGTCTCTGCCGATGGCCTGCTGAGGCTCCTCTCGCACCGTCGGGGCGCCGCTCTGCCCCAGCGCCACCGCCGACACACTCAACAGAACGATCTGGAAGTGAAATGTTTGTAAAGGGCGTGGGTTTCTACTATAAATTGAAACCAAGATAACTGTTCTTATAATCGCACTTCAGACAGCCTTTGGATTTCACTTCGTCTACACAAACATGCAACGCAACGACCCTTACTAACTCCTTTAGAAGCCTCTATTCCTTCATTCAGTATCTTCACTCTTGACATTCAAAGAGATTCAAAGAAGCAGCAATGCTACCCGCAATACGCCATTGCAACTTTCACGCATTGCATGGTATATGAGAGAGGATTGAAAAGGTAAAGTTAAATGCAACAAAAATTATACTCGGCTGGCCAGTCCACAAGTTTGCAATGGCTGTTATTAACAACCCACAATCACTTCGTTTACAAATATGGCTGAGTCCTAGGGAAGCAAAGCACTCACCACGAGCTTCATGGCTGATGCTGACTGATGCTTGCTCACTGACGACTCCTGCAGAAGTCACTGCCGAATGCCGGATCTTCCTCGTTATATACGCCAGTCTGACCTTCGTTTTCCCGACACTCTCACGATCGTCCCCTTGTTTTGCCCCGCGTGCAATTAAATGTTTTGCATCCAGACGATCCTTGGCGAAAAACTGCTCCGCGCTGCGCCACCGCCGGCGAAATCCGCGGTGTGTTGTGGTTATATTCTAAGAATAAGAAAAATAAGAAGACAATGGTCGCTATAACACTAGGTTCGCATAATTTTGCCAAGACGTGTTATGATATAGGTAGGTACAAGACAGAAGCAACGACGTCATCATTTACACTCGTATCTCTAATCAGGATGAGGTGTTAGTCACTGGTCTGTGATGCGGCGCGGGTTACAGGTTAATCAGTAACTAAACAAAGTGTACTTGTTCGATACACTATATTACTAATTTTCTTATTGCAAATTCTGCTGTTTTTTATGGGTTGTATTAATTTATTACACAAGTGTATTAGTATCAGTCCTAAAGAAAAGAGTATGTGTGAGAGACTATATTTTTGCTATGAAGGAGGGAGGTTTCGAAACTTTTGTTAACTCTTTTAATTATGTAATTAACTAGCATAATTCATATTCATCCTGTTGTACATATTAATTAAAAAAGTAATTAAATAATAACCTCTGAGGAAATGATAAGAGACAAGACTTGATATTTAAATGCATAACTAATTACTCATTTTCATTCCGAATCAAGGTTAATTCTTTTTTTTTCTCTTTTTAGCGCTTTGGCAATGAATCACAGCATAGGTGTGTCACGTAAGATAACGAACAGGTTTCGGAAGCCTTCGGGGAAAGACGACCGAAAAACATGACAGGGGAGAACACCATATAATCATCACCATTGCCACCATCAATTCTGCGCAACTTCCTTTGAATTCCGAAGATTCACCTCCTATACCAAAACAAAGGAACCAGAAATAGTCTTTTTTAAGATTGTAAACTTGCGTTGAGATTTTGCTCTTATTCATAATGTTTGATAAATATAAACACTTACATAATCATTCACAGGATATTTACCTCATGTTAAGATCACAGAGAAGGGGAGAGGTATGTGCGTCCAACCCAATACAGTACTTACGGTATTTTTTATACAGTATTTTCCTCACATAGTACTTTTTGTTCGCCTCCCTCACACGCAAAGTAGTTTTCCCCATAACTCCGTTTCAGCTGTATTCAAAACTTT